TTTAGAAACTCTGTGCCAGGAACCCAGGACAGAGATTTTATATATATTATATATATATATAAATATATATATCTCAACATAGATTTTATATATATATGTATATCAACATTCAGTAAAATGCAGCAAGTGAGAATGAGAGAAAAAAGTAAAAAATAGTTTAACTTTATTTATTATGCAGAGAAAACCTGTTGCTTTAAAATCCTGATAATATTTTTTTATGTTATGCATCATGATTATATCTATGGAGATGACTGTGCATTTGTATATATTATTTCAATTTCCCCATAATTGAATTTTTGCATTCCAGGAATAAATCCTACTAGGTCATATGGGTTTTACTTGCCAACATTTTGTACAGAATCCTTGTATTGATGAGTAACCTTGAAGATTTACTTGGCTTTATTAAATGATTCATGCGTTGGGCAGCATCTCAACTAGCAAATAGAAGGAAGCTCTGAAAAGTTGTATAAAAAAAGAAGGCTTTTATGGGCAGAAACTGGCTTGACAAGAAAATTATCCGCAAAAGGCAACGCATGACTGTCCCAGGCAAGGGCATGTTTCTTTGGGGGGAAGGCGGCAGGGTCTGTCAGGCAAATCACCTACCTCACTGGATTGAACAGGAAATTTCACACTGATTGGTTTAGGGTCGCATTCCTGGGTAGGTCTGAAATTAGTCTTAGTGTGGTGCTCTGAAGCCGAGTTTGATGTTCCTTCGCCTTCACTCTGAGGCCTGTTTTTCCTCTGTGACTCAGTTCAGTTGTCATCTCATTCATTCAGTATTTTTGAGAACTAGCTGTGGATAAGGCGCTGAGCAGAAATTGGGAATAAAAGAATGAGCAAGCAAATACAGATTACCCTTAGTTTTCTGGTGTTTAAAGTGTTAAGTTGTTTCATTTGGGAATCCTTACCTGCACCCTTTAGTCTAGGTTCCATTATGTCTTATGCTCTCCTATCATAATGTTGTCAGTATCGCAAGGAGAAGAATTTCCTGAGACCCCATGGGAAGAGGAGGCTCTGTGGTGTGGTTTATTGATGATGTAAATTTAAGGGGATTGCCCTCCAGTTTCCATCCATTTCTCCATGGAAGAAGTCCAATCTTGTCCTTAACAAAGCCAAAGCGTGAGTCAGTTTCCAGAGTTTCTGCTCCATATTACAGTCCAGTCCAGTCCAGCATCCAGCTAGCGGGGAGAAGGAGAGGGAGAGAAACATCGATGTGTGGTTGCCTCTCACACGCCCCCAACCGGAGACCATTGTACAACCCAGGCATGTGCTCTGACTGGAAATTGAACCAGCGGCCTTTTGGTTTGCAGGCCCCACTCAATCCACTGAGCCGCACTGGCCAGGGCGGTATTGTACATTTTATGTCTTTTTTTTTTGCCATTTAGTTCTTTTTCATTGTTAATTATATCATTTGTAATCAATAATCTAGCCTCTAGCTTACAGTGTTTTGTCTCTTATACATGATTTAAAATGTATAGCTCAGTCGACCATATTATGGTACAAAGATTTCTGTGGTTACTACCATTGTACGCTTGTTCCTGGGGTGGGGACAAATGCATCTTTTGAGTTTGTCAGAATATTGAGTCATTCTGGCCCCTATAAACTCAACACTTGGTCTTGGATAATCTTCCTTACAGAATTTTATGGTCAGTGCATTATCATCTTATTTGCATCTTTAAATGTTTAGTCATAGGTCTTAGATAATCTTTCTTATAGAATTTTATGGTTAGTGCATTATCACCTTCCTTGTATCTTTAAATATTTAGTCATACATAATAGTGGCCTATAAAATAAATTTATAGACATAATTATGAACTGCTATAATTACAATTATTTATAAAGATAAAATCATTTAAAATGGCAAAGGACATCAGTAAAGGGAAGGACAGATGTTGAGGACTTTCAGTATATACGACTGAATATCTTTCTTTATGTAGTGTCATGGTTGAGAGACTTGTCTTTGCAGGTAGAAAATGCAGGTTCCATTTCTGATAATGCCATTTGGGGGATGCGAGTTGGAGTGGTTCTTCCCACACTGTGTCTGGGAGCTCCTCATCCAGGGAGAGCAGAGTCTTGTTCTCCAACGTCACATCCCAGTGCAAGGCCCTCTGAGCTGGACCCAGCGTTCTCACTACTCCTTAGTGAGTTCTGTGGCCTCATTCCTGAATGTCGCCTGTCTGCTTTACCGAGTAGACTCTGCTCCATGCTCTCTGTTTCCAGGTCTGTCTGCTTATCGTTACTTTTAAAAGAATAAGTATTTAAAATCAGTTTTTACTAATTTCTAATTAGTAAAATTAGAATTTTTACTAAAATTTTCTAAGTTAAATTTTCTAATTTGGTTAATATTGCCAGGTACTACTCATAAACAAAAGCTTTTTGAGGTCCTCAGTAATTTTTAAGAGAGTAAAAGCATTTCTGAGACCAAAAAATTTGAGAACCACTTCCCTATAGCAATCTGTTATTGTAAAAAATTGTTTTTTTTTATACTGAGGTATAATTTTCATATGGTAAAAATGCTGAGATCTTAAGTCTGTTGAGTTTTGAAAAACAGATACATCTGTGTAAACAACACTTCAGTCAAGCTCTGGAACATTTTCATCACTCTGGAAAGTTCCCTCTTTGCTCCTTTCCAGTGACTCCCCTAGGCCCTTCCTTACCTTGAGGTGAACACTGTTCTGATTCCCGTCACTGTAGCTTAATTTTGCCTGTTTTAGAGCCTCATATTTAGAGTCCACTCATGTATAAGTGGAATCACAGTATAGATCCTTTTTTGTCTGGCTTTCTCACTCAATATTAAAGATAAACACAGTCAGACGTTAGAGTGATGAATGGATATTATCAGTAACTACTGACAGTAGAGGAAGCTGAGTTCCATTCTGATTCGTGCAGGGGTGACTGGGCCTTTTAAAGGGAGAAAGGAATGGAGGGAGAGGAGAGGAGGGAGCTCAGTGGAGACTGAGAAGGAAAAATTACAAAAGTTTGGGTTGGTTTCAGTGTAAACTCAGTTAGGCCAGCAGTGTTTGCTGGCTGGCAGTTACCCAGTTAGGATTCTGTCCTTCCTGATGATTGCATTTCAAAGGAATGGCTCTGGAGCCCTTGAGAAAGACACTTCTGAGCTGTAAAAGATAAAATATTCACAATGTAAGTCCTTTTTAGTAAATGTTCTAAGAGAGGGAGGTCAAGGGCCTGTGGTCAGGTGTTGGCTAGAACAAACAATAAATTCTTCTGGCTGTGTTGCATTTCTTGGGGAAGCATTGTAAGCGGGAAGGGGGATGGGGGGCGGGGGTTAGGATAGGGATAAGGAATGTAATCCTAGGAAGGTGGGTGGCTTTACGCTGCAAGAAGCCATGCTCAAGTTTGGCCAGGTCTCAGTGCAGGGGGGTTTGGATGAAGTTGTTAGGTGCTGAGAGTTCTGTAGTTTTCACTTAATGTTTTTGAGATCCATGTTAATAAAATATCAGTAGTTAACACTTTCCTATTGCTGAGTAGTATCACATTGTTTTCCACGGGGTTTGTTGTTTTTTTTAAAGATTTTATTTATTTTTAGAGAGAAGGGAAGGGAGAGAGAAAGAGGGAGAGAAACATCAGCGTGTGAGAGATACATTGATTGGTTGCCTCTCGTATGCCCCCTGACTGGGGACCTGGCCTGCAACCTAGGCACTTGCCCGGACTGGGAATCAAATCAGCAACCTTTCTGCCCGCAAGGCAGCACTCAGTCCACTAAGCCACGCCATCTAGGGCATCCTCAGTTTATTTCATTTGTTCTCTTGACAGACATTGGGTATTTAATGTGGGGGAGTAAAATTGCTGTGAATATTCTTATGTGTCTTTTTGTGGATACATGCTCTAGGGTTAATACTAGTCATTTTCTTTGAACTAGTTTGTCACCTCTGCTGGTCATGAGCCCCTTAGTGCCTGAAGTATTTGAAGTCCTCAGTAATATATCTGAGTAAATTAGAGATGAGTTTGAACCTCAGGTCCCACCAGAAGGTCATGTGTTATGGTATAAAGTGAATTAAATTGGGAGATAGAATCTCAGTTCTAGTCCTAACTCAACCTCTAATCAGTGGTGTAGTCCTGAACAAGTCACACAATTTCTAGATTTCAGGTTTCTTCTTGTAAGTGAAAAAATTATATTAAATGGTCTCCAAGATTTCCTTTTATCCTGAATATTCTGTGACTCTAGTGGGAAGAATTGATAAACATAATACAAGAAGAATAGACTGAAATGTTGAGGTAACAGATCCAGTAGGAGCCTGGTATAGTAGTATTTGTTACTGATATTCCTGTGAGAATATCAGGAAAAAGCTCATAATACATATTATAGAGTTTACTTTCTAAAACTATTTTATCAACCAACTACAACATCAAGGAGTTCTTCAAAATGCTAGAAGTAAACAGATAAAAAAACTTGGCTCTTGTTTTTAAAAACCCAAAAACTATTTCATCTAGGATTTGGCTAGCTGTTCATGAAAAGGTGAAGCATGGAAATCTGGGATTTTATATCTTTGATGATAATATAGTTCCTAGAATTTTGATCATTCTCACAGTAGATAGTCATTTGTTTTGTGAGGAAAAGTAACTCATGTCAGGAAATGACTTTTTTTATTGAGAAACTATGATGTATTAGACACTTTTTAGGTCACTTAGAAGACCAGTGCCCTGCTGCCTTCCAGAAATTCTTTCTTTTAGAAGTAAATTTTGGGATTAAAAAATAACCTTTCAACATCAACATGCTAATATTATCTTACTGTTAGTTCTTTAGCCATTTATTTAATTCATATTAACCGACAACTGTAAATCCTTAGAAGAAATTTTAGAAATGAAAAGTAACCCTTAATAATGCAACCAACTTTTGTGTAAATGAAGAGCAGAAGGTGTGATCTGCCCACATTTTCTCTCTCCAAGGTTGATGTTCTTAAAAATGAAGTAGAGTTCTTTTCTTGTGATTAGCAAGTCCAGTTTAGTTACTTATCAGTGTTTTTCACTCTCTCCCTCAGATTTGGATCATACAGCGGATGTCCAGTGAGTATAGCTGGAGTTGATGCCTTTGAAACCATGTATTTAAATAAGAAGGCTGTTGTTTTAAGCTTGATGTTCCCAGTTTTCATTTTTCTCCTATTTTGGTTCCCTTAGAACATGAAAATGATGGCTTAAAAGCACCCAGTTACAGTACCATTGAAATAAGTCCTTTGGTTTTGTATTTACCATATGGATTTTATTTTGACTTTGCTGTCAGGTTTCCTCTCTTGCAGTGGATTATATTACACAGGGCATGAATGTATTTCTTTAGGTTACACGCATGGGGAGATACTCTGGAGGAAGCATTCGAGCAGTGTGCAATGGCCATGTTTGGTTACATGACAGATACAGGGACTGTGGAGCCCCTCCAAACAATGGAAGTAGAAACACAAGGTAACCAGTTTATTTTTTTCCTTTTTTATTTATTTGTTAGTTAATTAATTAATTAAACATTGTACTATTATGGTTCTTTTTGATCCTATGTAGGAGATGATTTACAATCTCTTCTGTTTCACTTTTTGGATGAGTGGCTTTATAAGTTCAGTGCGGATGAATTCTTTATACCCCGGGTAAGCAAGGAATTTTTTTTTTTTTTTTACTGAGCATATGGGTTCTTAGTTCATATTTTAATACAGCGCAAGTGATCTAAAGAAGAACATGTGATGTAAAACCAAGCTGTACAGATATGTAACAATGATACTGATTTGCAGAGATTATCGTGACCATAGGCTCTTCTTGGTTAACCTGAGTTTGCCTACGTATATGCCATTTGTGTTTAGAGCTCGTTATATATTTGTCACTAATCAGGATTGTGTGATAAGAATGCACTTACTCTCTTTATTGGCACTTTTTATGTCTCCCAAGTTTGAGCTATGGTTGTGTCCATTTATATGTTCCTTTTCTCCCATTTGAAATTTAGCAGCTCTGCCATGTTGGCCTAAGTTAAAAAATTGGTTCTTTTAGATTTCCTGAATGTGAAAAAGAAAAAACCAAAGGGAGATTGCTTGTTGCCATCAACATCTGGAAGGAAATACCTCTCCAGCACCATTGTTATCTAGCATACATGGCTCCCCTTTGCTCCCCTAATTCCTCATTTTTTCCCTTACCAGTTCCACTACACATACCCTTCCAGCTGGGTCATTCATCTTACAGAGTTCAAGTGCCTGCAATATTACATAAAAATAGACTAAGAGTTCTGTCAATTATACCTCAATAAAGTTGATAAAAATAGGCTGAGTATTAAATCTTAGTCTTCCTCTGTCTTACAGAAAAGTTCTTTTGACCCTGTTTTTATATTGTACATATTCAAGAATACCTCCCTTGAATATGTAAGAATAAAACATTTTTTCCTTGAAGTATATTTAATTTATTGTTCTATTTTAGTTAACATTTTAATCTTTGCATAATCGAAGTTGTATGCTGTTATCTAGAAGAGGTTACCTAGACATTTGTTTAGTAGCTGGTCTATAATGAACTTTTTTTTTAATTAAATGTTTTTCCTTTTTAGGAAGTGAAAGTACTTAGTATTGATCAAAGAAATTTCAAATTACGGTCAATTGGGTAAGTTTTGAAAATCTTTTAACTAGCAAGTTATGAAAGATGTTAAGTTACATTTTTCACTGAACTTAGCAGACAGAAAGTAAGAAAGTCAGAAGACCAGTTGCACCTCACTAGGGAGGGCTTTTCAATTGATTAAGTAGGTTAACCTTCATTAGACACCTAGGAGGGAGAGCTCACCTCAGCTTTGGAGGACCAGAAACTTATCAGGACAAATTTGATTTGAGTTGTTAAAGCTGATTGCCAATTTGTTGATTTTTAGCACAAAAAAAATATATAATTGCTAGTTGGTATAGATAAATGCATAAAGCCTCGCTTGGCAATGGGAAATACTAATTTGTCTTTTCTCATAGATCCTCACACCTGGGCTCCATTCAAACCAGTTTCTTCTATTAAATTATTCTTTTCCTCCAGAGTTTGTTGATAGTTGATTAGATCACTTTGTCTTAGAAATTTTCTTTTTATTGTTGTTCAGTTACAGTTGTCCTATTTTCCCATTACTCTCCGCTGCTCTACCCACCCCCCACCTCCCATATTCAGTTCTCCCGCCTTCATTGTCTTTGTCCGTGGGTCCTTTATACATGTTCCTTGACTTCACCCTTCCCCTTCTTTCCCCCATTATCCCCATTCCCCATCCCCTCTGGTGATTAGGTCGCTTTGATTGCACTTGGTGTTTCCCAAGTTTCTTTAGTCACTCAATGATATCTTTTGTGTTATTTTTATATAAAGCCTATCTTTCCCATTTCACATTGAATTTTATTTCATAAGTTTCTTTTTGTAAAGTGAGGTTTTTAATTATCACCACTTTTTCGGGTGGTTTGAGCAAATAGGCTTATCCACGGTACTTAGCTAATGAATGGTTGAACAAAGTTTTAAAACTTTCCTCTTTCTGCTACTACTGGTGCTTCTACTGCTGTGATCTTCAGCCACATTAGTTTTGAAGGGAGAGAGGACACTTAGTTCTAGCCAAGTTCTAGGAGAGTGACTCCCGTTGTAGTGCCTTTCATATACAGACAAGGGCATTTTTTTTAAAGTTATAAAATGCAAACCAAGGTCAGACCATAGTATAAAATCTATTATTTTGCCTTATTTTGCTTTCTCCTATGGGACATATTTTATTAGTTCTGTATCCTTGAGTACAGTGAAAATTTTGGACATGCTACCCTATTATGAAATAATATTCATTAAAGAATGTTTATTGAGAATCTGTGCACACTATACTAGGGTACATTTTTTAAAGATTAACTGTCAACTTTGTTTAAATGGCTGTTGCACACAAGTCCTTCAGTAGCTGTATCTGCTGGCAATCAAAATGAAATTTATAGCTCCTTACCCCTTCCATCTCTTGGCTTTCTAGTACCTTACCTACATTTGTAAGGCTAATTTTAAAATATGTAAATAGGGGGAGGGCTTAGAGGGAAGTGGAAGAGGGTATGGAGGGATAAAGGGTGATGGATAGAGAATTGACTTGGAGTGGTGAACACACAATACAGTGTACAGATGATGTGTTAGAGGATTGTGCAGTTGAAAACCTGTATAATTTTATCTTGGAAATCTTAATTATGCTTTAATTTTCCTTCTCAAGGTGGGGAGAAGAATTCTCATTGTCCAAGCACCCTCAGGTATGTTTTTACTTTAGCCATTAAAAACATTTTATACTTCCTTACCAAAAAGTTTGAGGTATGTGACAATAAATTTCAGTGACTTCTAATAAATTAGTGTAAAGTGGTAAGTTTTCCTCAGCTGTCTTTGACCTCTCTGGACACATATTTTGTTAAAACACTGATTTCACACATCTGGTTTGGTGGATTAAGAGTCAGCACTTGGATTCCAGTAGAGTCAGGTTTGTTACTGATTATTGTGGGACTTAAAAGTAAGTCCCTTGCCTTTTCAGGCTTTGATTTCTTCCTCTGTAATGAAGGTTTTGGATTAGATATTTTCTCAAGGCCCTTCTGTGCCTTTCTGTATTTGCCAGTTTGTACGGCTTCACTTTGTATTAGTCAAATCTGTTGGAATTAGGGGTGGACAGAATTTTCCTGTAAAGGGCCAGATAGTGTTTCAAGCTTTGCGGGTAGAGCGATGGAAGGGCCACCCCTCACTATTCTGTTGTAACACTGCAATGGCGTAGACAATATGTAAATGAATAAATGTGATGGTGTTCTAGTAAAATTTTATGGACACTGAAACTTGAATTTCATACCATTTTCATATGTCATGAAATTTTCTTTTTTCCAACCATTTAGAAATATAAAAATCATTCTTAGTTTGTGGGGCTATACGAAGACAGGTGGCAGGCTGGAGCTGGCCCGTGATTTGTGGTTTGCCAACCCCTGTGTTTGGGTCAAGGAGACCTAATTACTTGGAGGTGTCTGGGAAGTGCTGGTCTCATTTCTTCAACCATGATATAATGAAATGAAGCCTGGTGCCGGATTCTCAGAAGAGAGCAGCATAAAATGAAGAGAAACCAGGATTGGAACATATGAATTGAGAACATCATTTTTATAATACAAATGACGCATGGATTTTTTCGAACATGTTATAATTGAGATGTTTATTAGACATCCAAATGGATATATCTAAATTATCTAAATAGGTATTTATCTATAGCATGAGTTGTTCAGGAGATAGGAGTGCCTGGAAATACAGAGTAGCAGTCAACACTGAATAGATGATATCTGTAGCCATAGGACTAGATAAAATTACCTAGGAGGACGGTAGCTAAGAGAGCAGGAGAAAGGACTGAGCCCTGGGGCATTAAATTTGGATCCAGAAAGGAAAAGGGGGGGAAGGAGAGCATAGTGAGAGGGAGCAAGAGAAGAGGGCAGCCCCAAAAGCCAAACATCTAAAGCTGCTCAGGGGTTGAGAAAGGTAAGGACAGAGAATTGACCTTGGATTTACTAATCAGTGGAATGATGGAAATATTTGGGGTGGGTCAAAGAAGGAATTCAGAGTTGGGAAATTAGAGACAGTATATTGATACAGTTCTTTTGAAGAGTTTGCAGAAAATGGGAACATACGGATCGAAAAATAATAGCTAGAGGGGTATTTGGCCAATAAGGAAGTGTTGTGCTTTGCCTTGTATTAGCTAGAAGGTTTTGTAGCACCATTGTATGCTAAATGGAAATGATCTAGTACATGGGGGGAAATTGATCATGCTGGAGAGGGAGAGTAATTTTAGAGCAAAAACCTTAAGTAGGTAAGCGCTAGGGGGTGGGGGGAGCAGATGGAGTGATCAAGTGAGGTTGGCCTTCTCATAGGAGCAGAGACTGGCCGTTACAACAGGAGGAAAGGCTGGTGGGATACAGATACAGTAGGGTGGTAGATTTGTTAACGGGAAGATGAGTCAGTTCTTGTTGATTGCTCTTGTTTTCTCTAGAAGGCACCGTCGAAAGAGAGTGAGAATGAAGTGGGGGGCTAGAGGCAAAGATGAGAAATTTCCATGGCCTCAGAGTGAGAAAGTGAATTTTGTGGTAAATATACAATCGGATTACTGGTCAGTGCTGAGTATCCTTTTGAGAATTGTGGACAGACTTTTAAGGTGGTGCCAGTTTGCATGGTGTGTGCTGCCACAGACAGAAAGTTGAATATGGTTGAGGTGGTTGTCTCCCCTGGTGGTTATGGTGGAGGGGAAAAAGAGGCAGGTGCCGTTCAGATCCGTCTGAAATCTTCAGATTTCTTTGGTGCCATAGAGCTAGCACATGCCAGTCCCCTAGTCTCTGATACATTTTGTAGTGCACAGAATTATTGTAAAAGGAACTAAAAGAACATCAAATACTGTGTTTCTGCACTGGGGCAGGGCATTGTCATGTATCAGAAAACACGTGGAAAGAAAACAACCCTTCAACGTAAAGTGAGTATTGGCAGCTGAGAAGAGAATAGACTGAGTTCTTCAGGCCCAGGTTAGACTGCAAAAAGAAAGTCTTGAGAAGGAACCCTAAGCAACTAGTAGGAAAGTGTTGTGTTATTTGACTCAGCGTATTTGATCAGTGAAAAAGCTGATGCCCAGAGAGGTCAGACAACTTCCATACCCAGGTGGAAACAAAGCCAGGATTGGAGTTCTGTCCCTTCACTGCAGTTTGGTGCATATGTTGTTTTTATTGGATCAGTGTGTAATCCTATACCAATTTGATAACTAATCTTTTTATTGAATTTTTAGTTTTTCAGAATAATAAAATTTTGACTTTCTGCCAATTGTTGCTAGAGTTAATGATTCTGATTTCAATGTCCTTTTTTTCCTATTTGTTTTTTCTCTAACCCCAACTTTAGGGAACTGAAGTCAAGGCAATAACATATTCAGCAATGCAGGTGTATGAAGAGAAGCCAGAAGTTTTTGTGATCATTGACATTTAAGATACAAAAAACAAACAAAATCTCCTATGAAGAACTGTGTTTTTCTCTTCCTTTTGAAAAGATACCATGATATAAATTCTACAATGTCTGATGATATACAATGATACACAAAACAAATTTTTGATTTAAAAGTGTAACTTTCACAAATGGGAAATGAAGGCATTGCCTTGGTCTATGTTAACCAGATATTCAAATGCTAAAGAATTCTTCACATGGCAAGTATGGTTCCTCATTTACTCGCTGCTGAAGCAGCAGGGGCCTCACACCCTTCCGGTGGAATGCCAGCTCTCCAGCCTGGTCCCGGAATGGACCGTATGGACACTTTCTTGTTTTCCTGTAAGAAAAATGTAATGCCCTCACAAGTGGGCCCTTCCTTCTAACATGTAATTTTATATTAAAACCAGTTTATTTATACAGTTAGAGAAGAACACCAATGTGTGAGAAACATCTATTGATTGCCTCTTGCACTCCCCCAATCAGGGATGTGACCCACAACCCAGGCCTGCGCCCTGACTGGGAATCTGACCAGCGACATTTGGGTTCAAAGGCGCTCAACCCACTGAGCCACAACAGCCAGGACGGAACTTTTTAAAAATGTACTTGTTTTTAAAAAATTACCTAAGCTCTTTATTTCTAAGGAGACAGGAGTCTAGGAAAATGACTAAAATGATCTGAACTTTTCAAAGTAGATGACTTTAAAAAAAATGAAATTGCTGTGGTTTGACTTGCAACATTATTCTTTTCATTAATTGGTGTGTTCTTGTGATACAAAAGGTTGCAAAGTTGCTATTTATTCACACAAATGTGAGGAGAGATTGCCACTGGCAGTGCTAAATATTATTACATTAGGCTGAACTCGACCTCAGAGGAAGCGATTGTGAGCTTTCCAAGTGTCCTTCCTGAGCACTGCATTATTTTCCCTGGGTATTTAACAGCGAGGCTAATGAAGGCTGGGCGAAGCGCCTGTGGCTCTTCAGTACCTAGTGGGATCAATGGCGTAGTGCTTCATAACCTTCTTTAATCTTAGGCACATTTTGCACGTTTGGATTCCGGCCCTCCAAGCAAGAAATGTCTAGAATCTCTACCTTTTGTTAGGATGAATTTCCAGACTGAGGTGGGGCTCTTTTTTCATGAACCTCTTTGCACATCATAGGCTATGTGGGGGGTTGATGTGAAAAATAAACAAAGGGATACCATGAGAGCCACAACTAAAGTAAGACTCTTGGGATATATTAAGCCAAGTAGGGTACCAGCCTGACTCAGAGGAAAAGCACAGACATTTCTCTTACCACCAATGCTATATAATGGGGTTCAGTAAAAACAAGTCAGACATTGTTATGCAATACAAATTGTTTTTATAGTAAGTATATAATCTAATACAATTTTAAACATTAGTTTGTTGGTTTTAAAATACACTAAAATGGCCCTGGCTGGTGTGGCTCCGTTGGAGCGATGTCCCATACACGAAAAGGTTCCAGGTTCTATTCCCAGTCAGGGAACACACCTAGGTTATGTGTTAAATCCCTGGTTGGTGTGTGTGTATTCAACCAATCGACGTTTTTCTCCCTCCTGCCCTCCCTTCCTCCCTCTCTACAAGCAATAAAAAAAAAAATGCCCTTGGTCGAGGATTAAATAAATATACCAAAATGAAGATACTACATGGCAGAAAAATGAGTATGTTATTCTTACTATGTGAAGGTGGCTTTTTTGTGTTTGCCTATCACATAAACTTTTAAATATTTTATTAAAGTATAGTTAGCATACAAGTGTCCCCAGCTTCCCCAGGATAGTTAAAAATCACTGTTAAAAGATATATATATATTATATATATATATATATATATATATATTTTTTTTTTTTTGTTTTTGTTTTTGTTTTTGGAGGGAGAGGGAGAGAAACACTATGTGCAAGAGAAACGTACCAGTTGCTTCATGTGTGCCCCCAACTGGTGACCTGGCCCCCAGTCCAGGCATGTGCCCTGACCATTAATCAAACCTGCAACTTTTTGGTTTGCAGGCCAGCGCTCAACCCACTGAGCCACACCAGCCAGGGTGGAGCTGTGGAATTTAAACACTACTGTGCTGACATTTTTATTTTGGGGTTGTAGTGGTTAATAGCACAAACCAGAACCAGATCACTGGGGTTCTAGTCCTGGTTCAACCACTTACTAATTCTCCGCTTTGGGCATGTTACTTAACTTCTCTATGCCTCAATTTCCTAATTTTAAGTAGTGACATTAGTACTTGTAGGATCATTGAGAGGATTTTATATACATATAAAGCTCTTAGGACAGTGTCTGACAGAGTAAATGCTCAGTAAATGAGGGCTCGTAGTATTATTGGGGCAAACAAATTATAGTAGCCCCCTTACTTTTGTCCTTAATTTTAAAGTCCACAGTGCTTGGTTAGGGGGTGTGACCATCCTAGAGACAACCCTGGTGGCAGTCAGTGCCATTCTCCTAAAGTCTCCATATAATAAGGGCAAGCAAAGCCACAAGTCTCTGCTTCTCCCTCCTTCTCTACTCCTAGTCCTTTCTGTATTAATCAACTTCTTCGTAACATCCAAGTTGAGTGTCTATTTTCAAAAGGTGTGCCTATTCCATTATGCCAAACCAATTGCCCTTCCATTTATGGTCCCTGATTGACTCCTTGTAACTCACAGTATTAAACATTCAAGGGCTGTTATCACATTGAGAAGAAAAATGAACAAAGTATCGGGCAACTTTGTTTCTGCCTTTATCATCCCAATGGCCTCTCCTGATTTCAGTACCAGAGCAGCCTACCCACTTGCACCAGCAAAGGTCACACCCCCTAACTCACTAGTCTGCCGTGGTTTTTTTTTTGCTCAGATTCTTTTTCTCTTCATTTTTATAACAACTTTATAATTCACATACCATACAGTTACCCCTATTTAAAGTACAGTTCCATGGTTTTTAGTATATTCACAATTATATGCAGCCATTACCATAATCAATGTTAGAACATGTTTCCTCCTAAAAGGAAACCCATTGTTAAGCAGTCATCTCCCCCATACTGCCAGGCCCTGGGCAGCCACCAGTCTACTGTCTGTTCTGTTACCAGGTTCTTACCAGTGGGTACGTTGGGCGCATACGGAAGGCAGCCGGTCCATGTTTCTCACATCAGTGTTTCCCTCTCCTCCCTCCCCCTCAAAAAAAAAAAAATCTTTCAAAATATATCAGCATATTGGATTAAAGACTGTTTGTGTTACTTTTGTATGTTTTTATACAAAAACAAAATAAATACAATATTCTCCCTGCCCAAATTGAATTCACTCTAGGGAACTGGATGGAAGGGGATGCAAATGAAGATACTAAGGTACTTGTTGAAGAAATAAATGGATGTACTTCTGACACTGGTACTTTCTACCTCACATTATTATTAGCCCTATGTAAGTCTCTCCACCTGGAATGTAAATTTCCTCCAGGACGTCATTTCATTCCTCTGCCTTGCATGTGATTTCCCGAAGTCATTTTAAATGCCTCACCTTAAAATATGTGGACGGAGAGAGAGGGAGGGAGGGAGGGGGGGGGAGAGAGAGAGAGAGAGAGAGAGAGAGAGAGAGAGAGAAAGAAAATATATATATACCTGAAAGGTTGGAGCCAAAGCCTCTGCATCCAATTTCCTTCTTGAAACTTTCTCTGATCTTGGCCAAGTGTTCTCGCCACTCTAACCCTCAGTTTCTTCATTCCCCAAAATAGTACCAACCTCACGTGGCTGTCAGGATAAAACTTGGTCAGTGTCTCTTAAAGAGTTATGACTCCCTCAAAAAAGGATGGGAAGAGGAGGAAGGGAAGAAACTAGAAAGAGCAGGGACCCTGGGTAAACTTGAACACTGAGTCAGAATCTGGTCAACAGTCCGATCCCAGAGTGGGAGTCATTCCCTAAACAGGCTGGTGCAGGTTCCTCCCTGGTGCCTTTCCCCGGCTCCTATTGGCTGGGCTTCAGACGACCGGAGCACCAAAGGCGCTGATTGGCCGTTGGGAGCAGCTAGGCCAGGGGCGTGATCCCTGCAGCGTCTGTGACAAGAGGGTTGGGGCGCCGGCGATTTCAGGGATGCGCAAAGTATTTAAGTGCTTTGTCCCGCCGATAAGAGCACTGTAACAGTGGGGATGGAATAGACCAGCTCTCCCGCCGGTAGGGCCACGGTTTTAGGCATCGGCAGGCATCCCAGTACCTGGGCTCGAATCCCAGCAACGCTTGGAGTGGTTGGTGGCTTTGGGGTCATTTCTCAGGCCGCAGCTTCCTCCTGTTTTTAAATGGGAAAGGCGCGAGTGCACCTAGTAGGGTCTAGTAGATCCCTGGCAAATGCAGGCTCTTTATTGGGCGCCCAGTAGGCACTACAGAAAATTTGTATTGAACGTCGTTCCCCCCACCCCGCCCATCCTCCACCACCCAGACTCTAGTGTTGCGGGCGTCTGGTAGGTCAAGGCCCGCTCCGAGGCCCTAGCTGCCAGTGTAGTCTTCCTCTGTCACCCACCTGAGCAAGAATAAATGTCGCTACCAATTAGGATGAAAAACCGATCTTTCACTTTTAAACATGCCCCCAAATACTGGAGCGTCTGGGGCCAATGCTTATAGGCACTGCTTTTCACTGCTGTGTTCCTCGTGGATCTTTTCCTCCAGGGTGGGGGGAAAAAAAAAGCTTTAGATCAACTCACGCAACAAAAGGCACAGTATTTTTATTTAATTTCAGCATTCAACCTTTTTGAATTATAGAAGAATGTGCCGCTTCGTTATTGGATACTGTGTGTTGGGGTGGGGATGGGAGTGGGGGAGACTAAGCAAGGGAGTGTCTGTACATACAATACTATGGAAGGGATATACTTGTGTTTGAATTGCAAACATAACCTTAAACGGGAATGAGAATGGTGCTCTACTCAAAAGATGCTATTTTCAAGAAATAATTTTAATAATTCCTGAAATAGTAAAGCTGTTTTTGTTTCCAAATTTGTCTTAAATCTCCTTTAAATAACACATCTTAGTATTGAGTTCTATTTCTCTAGTACAATGTTTAACTTAGATTAAAAAATAACTTAATTCAGCCCTGACGGGTGTGGCTCAGTGGATCCGGGCCAGTCCTGCAAACGGAAAGGTCTCCAGTTCAATTCCCAGTCAGTGCAGACAACTATGTTGTGGGCCCGGTTCCTGGCTGGGAGTGTGGGAAGCAACCAATGGATGTTTCTCTCTCTCTCTTTCTCCCTTCCTCCCCCTCTCTCTAAAAATAAATGAGATATTTTAAAAAGTATTTAATTCAACTAATTGATGGAATTCTAAAATATAGCAATTAAGCTCCATAATGCTTGGAGAGTATTCTGGTTCCTTTTTTAAAAGCAAAAAGCATGAAAGCTCGCAAAATTTCAGGATATAGTATTTTAGTCACATGTTCCTAATAAAGTTCTTTTATTAGTCTGAAGTACTATGTGAATTTCCAGAATGTAATACCCATAATCAAAAAAAGGCAAATGCATCCCAAAGCAAAAACGGACTATTTTAAGACTACCCACTAGTTCAGTGTTCATATTTGTCCTTAACAAAAATGTTAGTTAAGGGAACATACACAGTATCTTGTAGTTTCACAAAATTTGTATTTTCTTGAACTGAGCACCTGTATTTTAAATGTTTTCCTTAATGATAGGATTGAGAACTAATGGACTGGAAGGTCAAATGGTCTGATGGCCCATCCCTAGCATCTATATGAGGAAAGAGGGAACCCTTGAATAGGATGTAAAAAATGCTAGGAAGATTAGTTTTAAATACTTATGCCCAGGCCCTACCAGAGATCCTAATTTGCTTAAGCATCTATATATTTTTTAAACTTCACAAATGGTTCTAATGTGCAGCCAAGGTTGAGAACTACGATTTACACAGAAATGTTTTTCCATTCTTTTCCCTTATAGGCTGAATAAAAATAAGTTACTCTTTAATAAAGAAATTAAGTAGTTGTAAATAATATCAACTAGGGACTAAAAGACCTTCGAGGGGAGTGGGGGTGATCAAGAAACTGCATAGCCCTGACTCACATGGCTCAGTTGGTTGGAGTGCTGTCCTGCAAACTGACAGGCTGTGGGTTTGATTCCTGGTTAGGGCATATACCTAGGTTGTAAAAGAGACAATCGATGTTTCTCTTTTTCTCTCTCCTTCCTTTCTTCTCTAAAAGCAATGAAAAAAAATGTCTTCTGGTGAGGATTAAAAATATACAACAACTATATAATGGATTTCTGTATTTAGAAATCTGAAAGAGCAAAGCAAAATGTAATAAATTCTTAAATGTACTTTACAAGATGTATTCAATGTAGTAATGTTTTCAAATAATCTAGTCAATCCCAGAAGTAAAGAGGTGACTGGCATTACCCTGGTCACTGGTTTCCTTTCTAAAGGTGATAAAATATCCAATGAACTTTTGCTGTTGTGAAAAAACAAAAAGGGATGGGAGAAAGTGTTTATCATGCTATTTAAATACATACATTTCAAAATATTTTGTCTTTAAAAGTTGTGTCCCTTGGTTCCTTTTGTGTGTGGTTTATTGCTTTATTAACACATCTGACTTTTTGTTAGCATTAATACAAGTTCTGTAGGGAGAAGACCAACATGTTAGAAAATGAAGTTTCTAGATCCTCTGTGGATTCCATTTTTCTTAGTATATTTGTGGCTCCACTGGTATGAATGCATAGTTAAGAAACTCCTGTAACAAAATAAAATATTATAGTTCACAAGACATACAGAAGCTGGCTAACCAGTGCCATTTCTGTGAAAACCTGAATTTTTTCATTAAAACTCTTGTAACTAAAGTCACATACTTTACATAATATTTATTCTGTATAGAATTTATCCACATACAATGACATCAGATTTAAACAATTGACTGTTATTTGTATAAAGTCATCTTATAAAATAGAGTAATACACAACACACTTCAGTGAATTATGCTCATATTCCAGGATTCAAAAATTTGGATCATTTTAATTCCTACTTTTGCCTGTGTTTCATTGGGTTGTCTTAGGTAGGTTGCTTTACTGTTCTGTGCCTCAATTTCTTTACTTATGTGGGATAACTGCCCTATTTCCTAGATATGTAAAGAATAACAAAAATTATTAAATACTTTGCAAATATAAAATGCTATATAAATGATAAATAGTAATACTGATTCACTCTTAATATAAAATAACATAGAACTTTCCATTTATAATCTAAATTTTGGTCCTCCAGGATCAATTATCACCCTTCCCAGTTAAACACATCTTCTTATGCTGTATTGTTTTAGTGATTTTCCATAGTATTAACTTCAGGACTCAAAAATATATATATATATATATAAAAATAATATGAGTGGGAACTTCAATATATCTTAGCATGACTTGGCAAAATAACTTTAATGAATTGAGTTCTGAGCTCATAAGTAATTGAAAAAAGAAACTTTTGTAATCCATTAAGCAGTAATTTGGCCACACCAAAAAAAAGCAATAACTGTTTTGATTTTATCACTCAACAATACAACATTGAAAAATGTGTTCTTAAAGTCTTAAAGATATAACTACAGAAGGAACACTGTATAAGGATGATTGGCTGCTCTAAGAGAACCTGTGGTTACTGGCTTATAAGTGCAGTGAGTAATAGGAATAATAAGGAGACTAATGCTCAAAGAGAAATGAAAAAGTTACCTAGTTCCAAGGTTTTCAGTGCTGTACTCCTGAGCTCTGCCAAGGTGCCTAGGGAAAGGCTCACAGGGAGCTCTAACCAGAACAACTCTGATTTTAGAGTTTCTTCCTTAAATGCTGGGCTTCTCTATAAAACCATTGGAAGAAACGGTTTTCTTGGGTTAAAAAAAATCTTTTAAACCACTGATCTAGCCTATTTTGCTTCCCCTAGATACTAGGCACGACTGCAGTGATGCTTTTACTTTTGCAAAACTTCATCCCATCAACAAGATGCTCTTAAAAGACCATAAAGTTAAAAGAATGCTCAGAAGCCGATAAACAGCATTCCTGCAAGAGCAAACTGGTCTAACCAATTCCCAGTATTGTCCAATTATTGTTTTAAAAAATCCTTGGCATAAATAAAGCTTATATTAACAGATTATACCCCTATGTAACATTTCCCCACATTTAAAAGCCAAAGAATTCAATTTTCTCAGAAACCAATAGACAGTTTCATTCTAGAAAAGGATTGGTCTCTAAAGACTTAGAGACATACGAGATGATAACTGGAGTATTATTTACAACTTGCAAACATGTCATGAATGTTCTTCTTTTCTGATACTAAGATGATAGAACGGATGTGCTGTCTAGTTTGGTGAACTTGATAGCTGTTCTGTGGGGATTGCTTAATGCTTGTTATAAACAATTATGAGAAAGCATTATTTCTGATAAGGCTCTACAAGTGCTGGTGGCACTGTGTTCAGTGGACTTTGCTGACATTCATGCTGCTGTATGGTAAAGTTTGCATGCAGAAGATAATAGCATAAAAGAACATTTAGGTCATAAAGTGCGTTAAGAGTATACACATGCAAGCACTACTTCATTTCTATGAATAAAGCTCAAATCAGTAAGTTTTCCTATTGGCTCCAATGACTGAAAATCAGATTAGAATTTTGAAAGATGTTTCCATCTGGTGAGACTAGAGAGTGACATCACAACTGTTTCCTCCCTCATTGGGATACAACTTAATTGTTAAGACTCCTGATTCAGGAACAGTTATATATGGAGAACGATGAACTCAATGCACACCATCTAGTCTGGAAGCAACTGGAAATTTACCATCAGAGGAATCTTGAAAAAGTCTAGAATTAAGTACCATAAAACAAAGTGGTTATTCATCTATTTATAAAAAATTTTTTTAAGAAATTAACCATTTTAGCCCACAAATTGGGATCAAAGATGATCATTAATTAAAGAGTATAAGAAAATGATAATATAAAAAGTATCATCTTGAGGTATGTCAGGCTGTATTTAAAAATACAGTATAATATATGGAGCCTCTATCTAAATTCAGTTATATCAAGCTGTATTGTGATAACCTGCAGAGACCTTTATGGAGGTCAGTTCTTCACTTCTGGTATACAGATTTCATCTTTAGGACTAAAATAATCCTTCTTCAAATTAACCGTAAGTTTGGAATGTTTCATAATTCAAACAGGTAAGAGTTTAAACTTAACTTTGTATCCTAGGAGAAAAGTTTATTCTGAAAAATTACATATACAAGATAAGCAAAAAAATGCTGAAAGCATTTAAGAGAATAACTTGTTCAAGTAGTTTTATATATAAAGTTTACATATAAATAATGACATAAAAAACATGTCAATAGATACCTTAGGAACATTACTTAGCACTATTTGAATAACTCTAGTTCAAAACATTATACGTCGTTGAAGATGATTAACTTCCTCCGTTTTCACACTTTCTAATTCTGATAGGCTTCTTTGATAATTACTGCAGATTGGTAAAGTGTGACTTCAGTTCTTTGCCATTTCAGGGGACAATATAAGGAGAAAAGGCTGAAACAGGACTGTTTGAATCAAAACCTGTTCAGACACCAGTCCCACCACTTAAACTTTCTGACTTTAATATCTTCATTTGTAAATCAGAGACAATAATATTTCTCTATATAAATAATATAGCAAGCAGTTCATAAATGTTAAAAATTGCTCTAAAGAACTGGTAAGAACCTCCAGTTTTCTTGTTTTGTTTTTTTCTTTTTCCTTAGAGAGGAAGAGAACTATATTGACACATCTTCACAAATGGCCTTGACTTTTAGGCAGTATTAGTTTCCTGCTTTATGAAAATCATAGGCTGCTGTGGACCTTGAGCTAATAGAATGTGTTATTAGTTCAGTCAGGATGGATGTCTGACTCTTAAATGTGCTCTTACCTGGTTCCCTATGAAAATTCAATATGTGTTTTTGAAACACCTTGAAATTATCTTACATAAAGTTTGGTTGTGATAAATTTATTTAAAATATTTTCTTTGAAAAATGTTTGCAAAGTAGATCTTCCTATACTAAAAGAAAAAAGGTATCTCTGTAATAAAATGAAGAGGATTAATTGTCCATCTATAATGCCAATTCAAGCTAGGTCTTTCTTTCCACTGCAGCAACATATTTTAGGGCAACAAAGTTCAGAGTGGATACAATGGCCTGTTTGGAAAGCATGCAAGTTATATCAGGTGATTACTTATAAGTCAGTCTGATAATTTGTTAACCAGTCTCTGATCATGGAAAAGAGAGAGAGAGATACACGTGGTCAATGTAAGTTGCAGACATGCCAGCTCTGTTGGTTCACATTAGAGCTACCTAATGTTGGGCTTTATTTCCTTTTCTTCTTCTTCTTCACTATCATCAACCTGTTGTATGACCAGATCAGCAGACCCATCCTCTACAATCTCCACATATGATCTATTCTCATCTTCACTCAAGTGCCATCTGGAATCCTTATCTCCATCTGATGGGGACATAAGATGCTGTTCAGCTTCCAAATCAATGGGGAGGCTGTCTATGCCAACTTCAGCAAGGCACTCATTACAGAGTCTGTAGCGCCTGGTTCCTTCCTGTACCACTTGACCTGTTAGATCAGTCACATGGCGTTTGCATTTTCTGCAGATTAGTTTGCACGCCTGGTGAATCTGTATAGAGATTTAAATAATGATAAAAAATGATTTTTAAAAAGCAGGACAATTTGAAAGTCTACGTACTAATTCATAAATTTAAGATGTTTAAAGCCAAGCATTAATATTAAGTTAACATCTAGATATTAGAAAGAGATACAGGTTTAGGTGATAAATTGACATCACAGAAATATTACACAATAGTTTTCTCTAAATAATGGCTAAAATGTTTTTATGATTAATATTACATACTCAGTAATTTCACATATCCCTTAATCCAATAGTATTTTGATATCTGAGGTAACACAGGACGCCTTTTCAGAATAATAATAATTGCAAATGATATATGCCATGTTAGTATTCTAGTGACTTTATATATCTTAATTCAGGGGGGAACCTCTCATTTCAAATGAGTATTAATTTTTGTTGTTGTTGTTGTTGTTATTTTGCCAGAGAAAGAAAAAAATACTGTCTAAAATTTAATTTTATCAAAAATATTTTTGGATAGGCAACTACTTGCTAATATTATTAATGAAAGATCGATCTACTAAAAAGAGGAGTGGACTAGGAATTTTAAGGCCTGGGTTCTAGGCCTGGTTTTGTCATTTACTAACCTTGTTGTTTACTAATCATGTATCTTGAAGCAAGTAATTTAGAACGTTATAAACCTGCTTCCTGGGTGATAGTCAAACTATTTAACAACTTGTAAGGTATAGGCACCACCCAAACCAAATAGAAGCCTGACCAATCAGAATGGACACTGGTTACAAACAACCACTGTGGTGGTTCTGCTATGTATCAGCCTATTATTATCTCTGCCAACTTCTTTATTACTAAGGGGGATACAACTCAGGTTGGGAGGAAAAAATGAGTTAATATGTATGAAATGTTTGGAGAAAAAACTGCACTTGATGAATAATTATAGATTATAGTTAATAATAAACAAGTTCAACAGCTCTCAGAGCAGTAGATTATGGGATCTAATCTAAAAATTATTACAATTAATTGTATAATGTTGAATTAAGAAGAGTATGGAAGTAAGCCACAAAAAAAAGAAAAAGAAAACTAATGCATTCCAGTAAAATATCTAAAAAAGTGTATGGGACAATCACTTAGTACATTTAAAATCTTTTGCCTAACCACTGATCTATTAATCAGTAAATATTGGAGGCACACAATTTGAGTGTATCCTTATTTCTCCTGACATAGTAATATTACAGTTATCACATGTGGCATTGTTCTTGGTACAAAGTTCTGACACATTCATGTTCTTCCTCCCATTCCAATACAATTAGGAAGTTGAAATTAAATGAAACACTATAATGTTAAAATTGAAAATATCATGAACACATGATTTTAAATATATATTTTAAAGATTTTATTTATTTATTTTTAGAGAGGGGAAGGGAGGGAGAAAGAGGAGAGGAACATCAGTGTGTGGTTGCCTCTTGCGCCCCCTACTTGGGACCTGGCCCGCAACCCAGGAATGTGCCCTGACTGGGAATCGAACCAGCGACCCTTTGGTTCACAGGCTGGTGCTCATCAGCTGAGCCACACCAGCTGGGGCTTGATTTTAAAAATATGTATCTTCTAGCTCTGTTTGCTGAAACAGTCTAAAAAAAAAAATGACAACATAAAGACAATGAGCACTCTAGGTGTCCAGATATTGGTTTCAAATTTTATTCTCCACTAAAAGGAAACAAAGCACCTTTGACAAATGGCTGATTCCAGTTTTGTGGCAGGAAGAGTACAAGGTGAGCCTAGGGCTCTTTTGGAGCCAAAGAATAAGGACACCAAAATTTGTTATGACAAAAGGACACATGAGTCATCTTCAAGATGTCCCCACTGTACAAAACTGAAAATCTGAGTATCAGAAAGAACAACTGTTATGGATCCAAACATAATAGACTAATTAAAAATTCACGGAATCATACGCTATTTATAAAAAAAAAACAGATAAAAACTCAAGTCATTTAAGATTACTATTAAATCAACTCTTTACTATGAGAATTGCTAATTAAAGGGAAAGAATTAAATATTTATCATGCTTCTCTTATAGAAGCCCTGTTTCAAAGTAACCTAACAGCCTCAGATGATGAAGGAAAGCTTCACTTTATAGAATTCCTGCTGATAATGTAGAAGGAAGCATAAAATTAGTAAATTAGTCCACAACTTCAAGTAAAATTAATAATTTGGACAGGGATTATCAGTTGGTGTTAATACCATTCAATGAATGGTTGATGATGAAATAGGCAGTCACATGATACCAAAATAGCTCCACACAGATTCCTTTCTAACCACAAGGCAGCCGCCTTTAGGTGTACAACGGTGGCATCACCTGTCATCGCCCTCATCCAGTGATTGATCTTAATTACACAAATGATGGGTCCTCCAGGTATGATGTGTCTCCTAATGGGACACAATATGAAAAATGCAATTTCATTCTTGATGTGTTGTAGTCAGAAGTACTTAACCTGAATCCATTAAGGCTTTAGATAAAACTTCTATTTCACAGTGCAAACCACGCATTGATGTTTCTCTCCCTCTCTTTCTCCCTCTCTAAAAATAAATTTTAAAAAAAGAACTAAAAAAACCCCCCAAAACTTGTATTTTAAAGAAAAGGCAGGGGGGAGAGAGGAATGAGCTAGATGATATCATGTGGAAGCATGCAGAAAAATCCAGAGGGAGATTATTTTGTAAAACAATTGGCTCAGTATCTATTGCAAGTCAGTGTTATGAAATAGAAAGGGGAGGGGGAAATATGATGACAGTTGACAAACATGTAAGGGAGCTAACAATGGGATACATGGTTCCGGATTAGATTCTGGTTTGGACAAACAAGCAATAAAAGGTATTTGGGGAACTATGGGGAAATTTGAAATTGTTCTGGGTGTTAGGCAAAATTTTACTGGGATGTATAGGTACAGACTGTTCACTAAAGAAAGCAAGTTACAAACTAGCATGTGCAGTATCTTGTTTTAGTAAAAAAACCAAACCAAACCATAAGTGTGCATGATTAAGTAGTAAGAATGGTAATATCTGGGTGGTAAAAATATACTATTTTTATTTCCTTATTTTTACTTCTATTTTCTTACTTTTTATCATAAATGTTTTCTGCTTTTGTAATAATAAAAGGTTGTTTTGATTTATAATAATCTAGTGCAGCAATTTTCAACCAGTGCGCCATAAGAATTTTTAAGACATGCGATACCTGACTATTTAGTGAGGGGCACTGACTGACCTCTTTTCCCTAAGCCAACACAAGAGCTGTCCAGTGTGAATGAATCAAAATTATACCTACTTTTTTTTTTTGGTCAGGTCATCCAAAAATAATACATGTTTTGGTGTGCCGCAAACTTTTGGTACTTAGTTTATGTTGTGTCATGAGAAGAAAGAAGTTGAAAACCAGTGATCTAGATTCATGAGAGTACTAAAGGCAGACGTTTGGTATGTGGGCTCACTGCTGTGCACCTAGCACTTAGAGAAAAAAGGGTCTGGCATGTAATAGGTACTCAGTTTTATTTGTTGAGTAACTACAAAGCAATGCATTAAGAAATTACCTTAAGGGACCCAGTATCCTTTAAAATTAAAAGGATCTCTTATAAGTGGAATGGAAGTACGAGTAATAGAACAGACTTTGGAAAAGATTTTTGTTGCAAGATGAACAGCAGAACAATGTTCCAATGTCACTACGTTAGTAAACCACCAGAGCATTTACCAGCAAGTTCCCTGAGATTTTTCTGACTGTTGACAGCCCAGTCCCTTACTGGCGGTAGTTCTATTGCCCACTTTGCTGCCTTCCGTGAGGAGACTGTAGGGAAAACGGAGCGACACTTGAAAGGGGGTGTTGTGCAGAGAGGTTGGACAGCAGAAACTGGAGATCCTACCGCGCAAGGACTGAGTCACCATTGGATGCTGAGTATCTGAAGTGATGATCCTGACTCAGACAGTTAAAACATGTTTACATTTTACATTGGCTTTGGCCCCAAAAAGACCAGTATATAAAACCTATTAGATTCTAAATGCATTAAAATAAATACTCAAAAAATATCTCCAACTTCAAAGTCTCAAAGGAGAATAAATAGATAAATGAATATATATATATATATACACAATTATGTATTACGTGCACAGTAAAAACATTAAGCTGAAAAAGCTTTTAATATGGTGAAGTTGTGGAAAAGATTTGCCATGAATTAGATTATCCTAAAGCAGATCAATGCACTTATTTCTTAAGAAGTAAAATGATGAAAAATCAAATACATACTGTTCGAAAATGGCTACTTAGGTGGTCTAGCCTGCTAAATCTTTTTCCACAAGCTTGACATGGATAGGGCCGTTCTCCTGTGTGACAACGAAGGTGACGCTTTAGGTCTGCTTTCCGTTTCACCACATGTGTGCAGTATGGGCACTTGAACCTCATCCTGGGCAGATCGTCTGTTAGGAGACAATTTGATTAAATCACCAGGAAGTTCACAATAACAATTCTAATAACAAAAAGAATCCAGAAGGAGTTGGTGTGTCCAATCTTGAAAAGGAGAAAGGAGAAGAAATGTTATTAAGAGTTGATTGTCAGGGTAACCCTAAGTACAGAACTATAACTTTAGTATTAATATTTGATATATTTATAGTCAAGGTAAATTTAGACTGTCACACTTACCTTTTTATTAAATGTCATAGAGTCAATATCTATTGAATGTAAAAAGGTAGTACTGGATTTTAAAACTGTTGACACAATCCAAAAGTAAAGTGATTTAATATTGAAGCTTTTAGGTAACTTGTTTTACTTACATGTTTTTATTTCCCTCGCCTTTATTCTTCATACACTTGTAATACTTTTAAAGGTGAAACAATTTCAAGGATCTTCAATTTTTTTTATTCTGGAATATAAAGCTCTTTATAATTAAAGTATAGTTGACATAAGGGATCTTTAATTTTTTATTTTAAAATTCACATAGTCAACACGTTAGTTGTGATTGAGGGCAAACTTCATCAAATTAACTGCTATTAATTGAGCTACTCATTACTGAAGTTAGGCTTAAATAACCCAGATTTATAAAAGGGCAGAACCCAAATAAAAAAAAGGATGACTTTATTGCTGTTTTAAAGTGAAACAAAGATTTCCCATTTTTTGTTATTAACGGTAAGCTCTAAAATATGATACAATTTCATATATTTTCATGTTAGTATCCTATAAAACATGTGATAAGTAAAAATCAGGTTGCTATCACTTAAAAATATGTTCTCTGTAAGCAAATTATTTTTTTGAAATTTATATGACAAATGTGAATATTAACTTACTTAGCGATATTAAGGACTTGTTGATCTTGTTTACATACCATAACAGTATTGGAGTGTCTTTTTTATTCTATATTTTAAGGACACATTCTGAGATACTTACAGATTAAAACATATGATGCCTGAGATTTGCTTAAAAATAGTAAGGGGAGGGGTTGGAGGCAGAGGTATGAATGAAGTAAGATTGACCAGGAGTTGAACGCTGTTGGGGCTGGGTAACTGGGGGCATGGAAGTTAATGACACTATCCTCTTTACTTCTGAAATTTTCCAAAAATTAAAATTTGTAAATATATAATCCAAATCCTCTACTCTGCAGGGGTTTCATTGAATCCTAATTTTCCTTTAAATTCACATGTAAGCTATAAAGCAAATGTGCTGATTAATGGGAGGTGGGAGAGGGACTGGATGGTATGAATTTCTCATCTCCATTCTCTACTTCAGTCTTAAGTGATGAGGGAAGGTTACTTTGAAACTCTCAACCTACATAATTTCTCTGCATTGTACTACTATCATAAAAGTGAAATGTCCCAAGTTGTTGCACATGAATTACAGTATCAATGCTATTGGCTGTATGTTAAGTTTTTTAAAAGTTCTGTTTATATCATAATAAATTCAGATTTAGTCTAATTTCTTTTGAATATTGGATCTGTGAACCTTCGCAATTATACATGTTTGCCCTATTTAACTTTTCTGTACAAAAATATTCTTCCCAAGTGAATACTCAGGAAAAAAGTAAACTATTTTACATGAAAACATGTGTCTTAGGAACTGAACCATTCAGAAAAGGGCTTTAAACATTTAACAGTAATCTAATCACCCACAGATACAGGTTTAGAAAATCATGTGTTTTGACCTGTCATTAAATTTCCCCAATATTACTTTAATTAAAAATTTTTCATTTATACCCTGACCAGTTTGGCTCAGTTGGTTGGGTGTCATTCCGCAAAGCACAAGTTTGATGAATCGATTCCTGATCAGGGCACATGACATGCCTGGGTTGCAGTCCCTGGTTGATTGGGGGTGTGCGAGAGGCAACTGATCGATGTTTCTCTCTCACATCAATGTTTCTCTCCCTCTTTTGTTTTATGAAATAAATTTTATTAGAAAAGTGACTTTAAAAAAATCATTTGGGCCCCAACTGGTGTGGCTCCGTTGGTCTTAGGAACTGAACCATTTAGAAAAGAGCTTTAGCTCTGGGTGGTGTGGCTCAGTGGACTGAGCGCTGGCCTGAGAACCAGAGGGTGGCCTGTTCAATTCCCAGTTGGGGCGCGTGCCTGGGTTGCAGGCCTGGCCCCCAGTGTGGAGTACACAAGAGGAAACCACACATTGATGTTTCTGTCCCTCTCTGTCTCCCTCCCTTCCCCTCTCTCCAAAAATAAATACATTTTTTTAAATTATTTTTTTTAAAAAAAGCTTTAAATATTTAACAGTAATTTAATCACCCACAGATACAGGTTTGTAAAATGAGAAAATCATGAATTTTGACCCTCAGAACCAATCGATGTTTCTCTCAGATATGGATGTTTCTCTCCCTCTCTTTCTTCCTCCCTTCCCCCTCTCTAAAAATAAATTAAAAATAAATCTTTAAAAAAAAAATATCGCTCAGTTCAACTGCCCATAACATGTAAAAAAAAAGTAAGGGCATGTTGGCGTAGGCTGGATTTATATAGGACACCTGAGTGAGGGGACAGACTCTCTTTCTGGGTACCTGGAAAACTTCTTGACGTAACATCAGAGCCTTGACCATACTGAAAGCCAACAGTAGAGTCCATTTCAGCATCGATTTGTGCTTGTTCTTCAGACTGGGAAGCGTGGCTGGAAGACTCAGACGTTCGTGCTTCTCGCTTGCTTGACTTACAATGAGCAATTTCAGAAGGCTGTGACAACCTCAAGTGTTTGGACTTTTTAATGGAATCTTTCCTTTGTTCATGCTTGGCCAAGGGTTGCTGAGTATTCCTTTGGGTAACCGGATGGTAATTATACTTATTCCAAGATTTTCCACTTATTACACCTGTTCCTTGGTCTGGGCTTAGGTGAGGATGTGGAGAACTGCTTTCTTCTTGCCAGCCACTGCTATAAAAAGAGGAGCGTTCTATACCATTAGAACTGGCATCTTTGTCAGAGAGACTGAAATAGCGATCTTTTTCTTTCTCACTAATGTCTAATGAAGATTTAATAAAGGTCTTACATACACTAATAACATCAGTCATCTGAAGGAAGCTAGCAGCTGACATCACTTCTATGACATTCTGACCAGTAAGAGAGAGTTTGCCGGAATAGACGAAGTCCAGGATAACTGTGAAAGTGTCAGGGGAGAAAGCCTGAAATGTAGCTGTGGTCGGCTGACTTGTCTCCTTTGAATTCTGAGAAAGAAGCATTTTAAAGTAACCACTACTAGCAAATAATACATTTCGATGCGCTTTGAAGACTTTCCCTTCAACTAGGATGCTGCAATCACAGAACACATCTTGCCGGCGCTGCTCATTTAGTTGTTGCAAGAGCTGAGACTGATGAGAGGAGATCTCCATTCTAAAGAGGAGAAGACACATGCGATTATCAACCACAAAGTAACACTGTTTTCTAAGATGAATCAACTAAAATTCCAATCAGAAACCTCTATCTTTTTTTCCATGAAAACCACTTTCTTAGAGAATACAGTCTCCAAGACACAAAGAATCATAGGTTTCAGGATATCACATAATACTATATTATTAGTTTTTAGATTTTTAAACAATTACTTGTCTAGTCACCAAACTTCATTTCGCATCATCTATAAATCAGGCCATTGGCTATATGACGAACTAAACAGGCTTGACTTTTGTCTTCATGTAGTTTTCAATCTAGAGGGGGTGTCAGGCATTAAACAAATATTCCTATGAAGTTATAAATGATAGATTACGTGCTAAGACAGAAAGAGGGTGCTACAGGAAGTAGAAAAGTGTAAACTAATTTCGACTGAGATGGAGAGGGTTAGGGAATACTTCTCTGAGAAGTGACATTTAGGCTGAGACCTCAAAGATGACCAGGAATTCACCAAGTGAAAAATGAAGGGAGAATATTTCTGATTCCAGCAAAAACAGTGGTCTGGAAAGTGCTGAAACTTTCCTGCCACAGACCTCTAGAGATGCTGGCTAAAATTAACCAAAACTTTTAAAATGTGTGTGGCTGGGCTTGCAAGAAAGAATATGAAATCTCTAGGTTGCAGAAGTGGAGAGGGAACAGAGCCAGAACAGCAATGTGGGCTTGGGTTTTTATCAGTAGCAGAGGTTGGAATCCTCTAAGGACCACAATCTCAATGAAAAAGGGCTGATGAGCTTTGCCCATAAGTCTAGGGTTAAGGTAAAGGAAGTTTGTCTTTGCAGGGCCTTGGTTGGGGAAAAATAATTGTTCCTAGATAAGATATCAAACCCAAGATTGTGTCTTTTGAGGTTCTGGAGTCCAAATTTATTTTACCTGCTTTGTGTGGGAAACCTCAAGGCTAAAAATTAACAAGAAAATTAGTCCTGTTAATTTTCTGGTGGAATCAGAGGTGCTGGTGGTGCCTGTGGGGCATCTTGAAGAAGCAAATGCAAAACTGCTCAGAAGGCCCTGGCTGGGGTGGCTCAGTTGGTTGGGCATCATCCTGCAAACCAAAAGGTCGTGGGTTTAATTCCTGGTCAGGGCACATGGCTAGGTTGCGGGTTCGGTCCCTGGTCGGGGAATGTACAAGAGGCAACCCAGAACCCAAGCCAGGGGGAAATAAGCTCTGCTTAAGCTGAACTCAAAATCATTCCCCTCTTTACACAGAGTGGATCATCTCTAATATTGTACCACCATGATGCCTAATCTCTCCTGTTGTAAAAACAAACAAATAAGCAAACAAAACCATCCCCTTGATTTCACATCTACCTCTGGCTACTACTCCATTTCTCTGCCCCCTTTACATAAAATTCATCGAAAGAGTTTTTTTGTTTTGTATTTTTCATTTGCTGTCTTCACGTTCCTCCCATTCTTGCTTGACCCTATTCTAATCAGGTTTTCATCCCCGTCCATCAAAACCATTTTTTTAAAAAGATTAGCAACCTGCACATTGTTAAATCCAATGGTCCTTCCTCTGCCTGCACCTTACTGGCGCAGCGCCTCACTCTTCACCCTAACACACTTTTGTCTGGCTGCCAGAACACCTCTCCTTCATGGTTCTTCTTCTGTTGTCACTCTTTCTCAGCCTCCTTCGCTGGTTTTCCATTTCCCCAGCCTCTAAGTGCTGCGGGATTCAGGACACGCTAGGCCACAATGTGGCCCCTTGGACACTGGATATTTTGAACTGAAGCAGGAAGGTCACTCTGACACCCCCTTCCTTTCTTCCCTGCAACACATCATAAAACCCTCACCTGAGAGGTGCCCTCCCTATACCCAAAGGAAAGGTGCCTCCTTATCTCAGAAGACAAAGGGACACCGACAAGAAACTGAACCAACAGGCTTTGCTGAGTTTCGCCAGTTTGCTAAACTCACCTCATACTCCTTAACCCACCAGAGTCCTCCGTGGCTGTCCACCCTTCATTAACCTTGCATAAAAATACTCATTTCTAACTATTTCTTCATTTCCTTGTGAAGGTTTCTGTGTCATGGAAAACTTATATTAAGTAAATTTGTTTGAGTTACTCCTGTTAATCTGTCTTTGTCAGTTTAATTTTTAGACTCAGCCAGGAGGAATGTCAATGAAAATTTTTCCTCCCTTAGAGCTGGAATGCCTCAGGCTGTGGGGCTCAAGCCTCTTCTCCACCCACATCATTCCCTAGGAGAGCCTGCCCTGTCTCAATTTTAAATGCCATCTTTGGGTTTATGACTCACAGATTTACATATCTAGCCGCCAACCTCTTCGCTGAACCTAAGACTCATATCTGTTTACCTGCATCTCCTCTTAGATGCTTAATAGGCACCCTAAGCTCAACACATCCAAAAAATTACCCTTCATTCACCCTCATCTTAAACTTGTTTTTCCTACAGTCTTATTCCATCTCAGGAACGGTAACTCTATTCCAGTTGTTGGGACCAAAAACATTAAGTCATCTTTGATTCCATGCTGTTGGCTTTACCTTAAAAAAAAAAAAACAACCCAAAATCTTTACCACTTTTGTCCACTACTCATGTTACCACCTTGATCCAAGTCGCCATCGCCTATCCTCAGTAGCCTCTTAATTAGTCTCCTTGCAACTTCAGTCTAGTTTGAATGCGGCAGCCAGAGTGACCCTTCTAAAACATTAAGCGAAATTAGGTTACTCCTCTGTGCAAAATGCTCCAGCAGTTCCCCATCCAGCTCCAAAGTTCGCACGACCTAAACCGCTCAGCATGATCTGCATCTTCCCACTCCAGGTACCTCTCTGCCCTCATCACCTCTGCTCTACCCTCATGCACTGCATTCCAGCTACAATCACCTCTGCTCATTCCTGACCATTCAAAGGCATGTTCCTGCCATGCAGCCTCTGTACCAGCTATTCCCTCTGCTGGGCAATTCTTCTTCCAGATACACACACAGTTCACATTCTCATATCTTTTAGGTGTCTGATCATGTGCCACCTTATCAGAGATGCTTTCCTTTACCATCCATATAAGCACCCCTCCCACTCTCCATTCCCTTATTTATTTATTTACTGTTTTCACCTACTAGGTCCAAAAGAGCAGGAACTTTGCCTGTTTTGTTTCTTTATGCATTCCTAGTTTCTTGAACAGCACTCAAGTACACAGCAGATGCTCAATAAACGTTAAATGAATAAATAAAAAATGTTAAAACATACAAGGAAATCATTCTTTACAAAGAATGAGCCCTGGCTGGGTAGCTCAGCTGGTTAGAGCGACGTCTCAATGTGCCAAAGTTGCAGGTTCAATGACGGGTCAGAGTACACAGAAGAATCAACCAATGAATGCATAAATAAGTGGAACAACAAACTGATGTCTCTCTCTCTCTCCCCTCTTCCCCCCCGCCTCCGTCCCCTTCCTCTCTAAAATCAATAAATAAATTTAAAAATTAAAAAAATAAAATTACTATTACTTTTAAAAAATGAAAATGAAGAATGAGCAGGCATACAAACAGGAGAATTTAAACACCAGGAATTTCAGAAAATAGAATAAAACTTGACAGATTCTTAATATACGTTTAAATTGGTCAAAGAGATAAAAGTTGATATAGACCAGCTTATAGTTATAAGCATGAACACTGCAGCCGGGTAGCTTGATTTGGAGGTCTAGCAGACAGCTAGTCTCCTGTTGAAAAAGAGCTTTTGGAATGCTAGCAAGCTCTCTTAGAGCTTGATGCTGACCATGGGTCACTATGTGGCCATGCCTGAGTTGCCTGTCATGAGTGTTACTACGGCACCAAATTACATATTTGGGCATGTGCAGCAGCACTCTGTCATCAAGATGAAGTGTTACGTACAAGATCAGACTGAACAGGTCCTGAATCCACAAATAGGTTCACGAGCAAATGGTACAGTTCCCATAGCACCTACTCCTGGTACCCGGCTGCCTTTCCTCAGCTCACAAATATGGCCCTATGGTGAGTTACCTACAATTAGCTGACAGAGGGGAAAAAAGTTAAGGCCTCCTTTAGAGATGGTTCCGCACAATATGCTGGCACCAGCTGGGAGTGGATGGCTGAAACATCACAACTCCAATCAGGAGTCTCCCCGAAAGGCAATGGGAAGGGAAATACCCCATCGGGCATCTGGTTGTCCACCTGGCATGGACACAGAGATAGACACAAGTATGGATTTTTACTCCGTTTTGTCAACAGTGGTTAACAAGTTGGCCAAATGCTTGAGGATTTAAAAAGAAATAGATAGAAGCACTGGTAACTGAAAGGCATATGAAGAAAAGGTAGATGGATATACCTTTTGGAATGGGCACAAGGTATGAGGTTTTAGAGTGTTGTGTGAAATCTTAATTAAGGGTACTAGCTGCTGAGGAGGCCCTCCAGAAATCGGACGGACAAGATGGTCCATTCTGTGGATGCTGGCTGGCCTTTTCCCCTAGCCTCTATGAAGCTCGCTGCATACTCCATCACCCAGAAGCAGCTTGCCTGACAAAATGGTGGAATAACCAACTGACTATTCAATTATGGCCCTATCCGACGGATGATACCCTGAGAGACTGGGGTGCTATCCCAATGGAAGTGGTGTACACTTTTAACCACTACCATAATGTAATGCTATTTTTTCCATAGATAGAACACCCACCTCTAGGGGGAAAGAAAGTGGTAGTCCCTCCTTTCTCCTTTACTATTTTTTTAAACTATTATTTTTCTAATAAGCTACTAAGAGAATTTTTGCTTTCTGTCCCTTTAGAGGTCTTAACTCCCAAGATGGGAAGGCTTGCGCCAGGGAAACACTGCATGGCTCCATTAAAATCAGACTGCGACAGACCTAAAGGAAGAGTTAACATCACCCATTCTGGGGAGAGCACGAGGGTGTCTTTGTATGGAGAAAAGCTGCATATTGTCAGGCAGACCCGTAAGCTTGTTGTTTAGAGTTTTAAATACAAGAAAAGCAGTATGGATGCCAAGTAGCCAGAATGGTGGACTATGCTGGTTATTTGCCTGTTGTCTCTCAGCTCAACACCCACCATTATCTACTTACTACTGATGGAATCGGAATTCTGCAAATGATTATTTCACAGGCTTCCTTCCTTGCAGCTGGCTTCCTGTTAGATTCTATCAATAGAAGGAACTAATAGGAGATCAGAAAAAGGAAAAGATATTTCCTGCTTTGGGCGGCGGAAATGCAGCAATTGCTGGCTGTTGGTGCAATGGCACCAGGCCTGGGCAGATTCCGGGTTGCAGTAGCCTTTCCATCCTTTGGACTTTACATCTCCGACACAAGTGGCACTTCCTCGGCAGGACCCAAACTGACTGTGACAGCAATTCCAACTGCACAGCAGCAAGGACAAACTTATGGGCTCCAGCTCCAGGGCACGGAAGCTCCTGATCTGTTAGAATTCTTCTCCTAGGTCCCCTGGCCCCGCTTTTCCCTTTTGCTGTTCTAGTCCTTCTTAGACATTTGGAACGAATTTCATATATTAAATTCCCTCTCTTTGAAATACCCAGCGTGGTTTCTGTCTTCCTGAGTAGACCGTGACTGATACCTTTTCTAGCACTAAAAACAGGTAAATCAGCTGAAAGTGTCTATTATCCTGAGACTTGACCTTCTGGATAAATGACATACTCTTTCCTCTCAGCACCTCTCTTACCTTTTACTTCTTGCAAACAACCGTAGTCAATTAAAAACTGCATTTATTTTGCTGTTGTTATTGTTGGTGTTTTGTTTTTGTCATTAACTTTTTTAGCAAAAATTTAAACACTCACCAAAACAGAGTACATAATATAAGGAATGCTCATATACTTACTACCCATTTTGAACATTCACGAATTTTGTCAGTTTTGTATCTTTGATCTGCCTTCATGTTCCCCACCCAGAATATTTAAAATTAAATTCACAGGCACCAAGTCCTTCTACCCATAATATTTCAGATGCACTACTGACATGAGCCTCCTTCCATTTCTGTTGTCATAGTTGGACCTCCATTATTTTTTCCCTGCACAGCATCCATTTCTCTTCCTCAGGGTAGGGTTCCTCTTTTTCTTTTGAGAAC